ATGTCATTTTTAATGTAGTTATAATAATAATAAAAGTTTATTTTATAATTCTTATATTAGTTGATGATTAATACTTATAAACTCATACTCAAGAGGTATGTCATTCTGATAACTCTTACTACCCATGAGCCTTTATATATAAAATTTGTACTCTCGCAAATGGACGTGAAGAGAGCATAGAAACATCACATTTATTTGCATTGTTTATTTATGTATATCTAATTAATTTATATTCCTTTCTTCTTTTACTTGTTTTACTTTTTATTTTACAACATATTCAATTGTAATAGTGCAAAAAAAAAAAAAATGAATTGATAGTCATGTTTGACAAGTTGCTATGGTGAGACTCATTTGATATATTATATTGTAAAAAAAAAAAAACATTGTAATTTAATTATTGTGATTTATATTTTCATTTTCAAATGCAAAATAAAAGTTGTTTACATCATAAATTGCGTTTTTAGTGATACCACATGTTAATGGATAAAATGAGATCAGATCTACTGAATGAATGCATATTTGTAAAAATTGATTTTGGAAAAATAAAAATTATTCGGTTTGTTGCAATTTCAATTTAAAAGAAACATGAATTCCTAGAATTTAGGAGAAGGAAGTTCAATTGAGAAATTATTTGTGATTTGAACAACCAACGAGTGAAGCGGGGAGGCAGTTCGCAGGAAACGTATAAATAGAAGCTTTCCAATTTTTTCAAGACACACTGCCAACTCTTCATAGAAGCCAGAACAAGTTTCAATATTTCCATATCGTTTCTTTAGCTTTCAAATTCCTTATTTAGCATAGTACTTTGTAGAATTTAGATTGTCGATTGTCTCATTTTTGCTTCTACAATTGCATTTGATGTAATAAACAACAAGTATTCTAATTTTTGCAAATCATCTGAAAAGTGTAAAACTCAAACTTAAACCAATGTTTTTCTAACCATTCTAACGGAGATCGATCAGGTGAAAGAAGAGGGTTGTTGGAAAAATCTCTTCTTTTTTTTTTTTTTTTCAGAAAAATAAGTGATACGCCTTTATCTAAATTTCACACGTGTGAAGCTACTTAAAGGTTTTTTAAGAAACAAAAGTATTTATTGTTCTTAATTTTTCTTATA